TAAAAACTGTATAAAATCCTAAAAAAAAAAAAAAAAGTCACATTTACCTGGAAGCAAAATTACATTTTTACATAATTTTTACATTATATAAAATTACATTAGGTTTGTGGTTAAAACAAGATATTAAAGTGCCCGTATTATGCTAATTTAGACTTGCAAATGAGCATAACATAGGCACTTTAATATGTATAATTTAGAAATATTTTTTCCTTCTTGTTTTAATTTTATGTTTGGGGTCTGCTAGAAAACATTCATGTGATTTAAAGTAAAAAAGCAAAAAACAAAAAAAAACAAAAACAACCTATATTTCACATATTTTTCATATTCTTCAGCAAGTGGGCGGGCATTATGCTGTGTAACATGATGTATCAAAGTCAAATAAATAATGACAGGACTATAAACAAGGCATTTCAGGCAAGTGTTTTCTGTTCAACTTCCTTTGGTGTTGACTTTTTAACTTTGCAGATCAATTACATGCACAAATAGCTATATTACACACTAAACGAAAGGTAAAATTAAAAAAATGCATGAAAAGTGCCCTTAAAGTATATATATTTCTGCCATTGCACAATTTATATGGACATTTTGCCTGGTCCATTCTCTAGTGCAGCATCAGTTTTCCACTCCACTTCCACCGTAAATATGCAGAGCTAATGAAGCAAAATGAGCGCACCTGACCACACTCTTGCTGCAGGACAGCTCATTGCCCAGGAAGGCCAGTATGGAGGCTTTCTGAGACGGCGTGTGGGCCTGGAAAGCTTTGGTCTTCAAGCTCTCGGCCAGCGGTGCCAGTTCAGTCTGTCCACAGTGAGCTTCCATATAGATCTGCAGCACCTCGGACACATTGTCCCGGTTCAGGCCGACGTTAGTCACATGGTCTCCCAGAGCTGTCTTAGCCTGAAGTGTTCAAAACATCCGAACAAAAGAACAGAGCAATGCAATGAGGAATTCAGTGTGACAAAGGCAGCGAGTTAATACGTTCAAAGAGAACTGAATATATTAATGATAATCTAAAGGCACGGTTAAATCGTTTCATTTAGGAGTTTAAGGCGGCAAGAGGCTTTTTATTAAGACTGTGAACGCATGTAAGATTAGTGCAGAGAATCTGCTGAGGGGCTGAACTGAATTCTTGCTCTTTATTGGAGATATTCAGCTTGAAGAAGAGCAGTAGGAACAGAGCACGAGGGAATACTATAGGATCAGACAGATTTTTACACATTCTGTGCTGATTTTAGGACCTTCAAATGAGAAAAAGAAATAAAATGACAAAATATGAGATCAAATCATGTTTGACAATCAATTACTGTTTTGCTTTTCAGGCAATTTTCCTTTTTTGTAAAAATAAAATACAAGTAAATATAAAAATAACCACTGATTACTGCTGTGCTTTATGACACCCCCCATAACAACAAAAAGTCCACACCAGACGCAACGCGACAGAATCAATCAAATATCACAGCCAATCAGAAGCGTGAGTGGGCGGGCTCTCTCTGGAAGCGCTCTGCACTCACAACGAAATGGATAAGTTTATAATCCAATTCATAAATACTAATACTAACTTTTTAACATTATTAAATGTACATACTGAGTGACATACCATCTTTGTTATGGAATACGCTTGTCGGTTCGCAGTGAGTCACAGTTTTAACGTACATCTTTGCTTTTATTTATTTTCAAGATCTGATTTCAAGTAAACTATCGGTTGTTGTTTTTAGTATGGCTATAAATGCCACGCAATATGACATTAAAATTCACATTTAACTTTGAATAAAGCACATAATCTGTAACTGAGTCATTAGTTTGCAGAAATAGAAACCGTTTCTAAAATAGAAATTTCATGTGTCGCCGTTGTGGCTAGTTAGGACAAAAACTCCAATTAACATGGAAAAGATACCTTTTATTGCGTGTCGCGGCGCGTGTAGTTAGGACACGGTGTAAGTCTCCATGTTTGCCATAGTTTAACCATGGTATTTATAGTAAAACTGTGGTTATACAAAACAAAAACAAAAAAAACAGTTAGTACACTTTTACTATAATAAAACCATGGTTAATTTTCTTAAGGGATTTGTATTTGTGTATTCTTTCTTTCTTTTATTTTTTATAACTGTACTGCCTTAATGGTTTGATGTTTTGTACCGTTAAAAAAAAAAAAGATCCACGCTCCGAAGTCCCGATCTGAATCAAAAGATTCGCGAGCCCACACAAAAGTCCCATTCTGAAACAAATGATTCGCGAACCGCAATCCACGCTTCATGCTCCATAGTCCCAATCTGAATAATGATTCGCGAACCAACATTTCAGATCGGGACTTCCGATCTAAATCAAAATGATTCGCGATGATCTGAATCAAATAAATAACTCTGAAGTCCTGTCCTGAATCAAAATCAAAGTCCCAATCTGAATTAAACGATTCACGATCCGATTGGAGCGCTTCAAAACAGTGAATCATTGTGTGACGCAAACTGATTCAGAGTTTCGAAAAGCTCCGTTTCACCCATCACTAAACGTACAAGCGATGTTGAAATTTTTTAATGAATGGCTCTTTTGAATAGCTTGAAACGAATGATTGGATTCACGAGTTTGAAACAATCGGAGCGGTTCCAGCGTAAATGATTCACTCAATTGAATAGGTATGTCTGTTCCTCCGCTTTTCGTGTCTTCAGTCATGTTTACACGACACTGTCAGTACTACTACTGGCTTAGCTCGCTAGTTTTATGAGATTAACTGAAATACGTGAAGAAAGTATGATGTTTTACAAACAAAATATCAATATTTACATTCCAAAGACAACATCCAACACAAATCTAAGAACATATTCAGGTGAGGTAACCAGTTCACTATATTTTAAATTATTTGACTAGGGCTGCACGATCGCGATCTCAAAAAACCCATGCGATCCCAATTTTTAATTGACAACGATTCGCTCGTGTTTATTAAACCTTTGAAAACTGGAACATTCAAATCTGCGTTTGCGCTGCCGCTGACACAGAGAGAGCAGTTACCATGTTTGGGTAAGAAACAGCTTCACAAACAGTCTTTTCAATTACACAGTATTATTACTGTCTTACAGTCATTCATATGATCACAGAAATACTGGGATGAAAGTTAAGGCCTTTTCACACTGAACGTGAAAATTCGGCACGAAAAGCATTCGAGGATTTATAGTTCAGATATAAACATTGAAGTCTATGGTAGCGATCAAAATAGAGCAAATCCCCTTTTGAAAGTAACTGCCGCTTCAAATAACGTTTGTGTCGATTGCATTGTTTCGCCAAGTTAAAAAAATTAATTTGTCATTGAATCATTCATTCAAGAGATTTTTTTGAACTGAAGTGAATGTTCAATTTATCAGGGTCTCACCCTGTGTCCAGCAGGGAGTCCTGGGTCACAAACAACAGCAGACAGCATGCGCACCAGCAGGTCCTGGATGAAGCCCATGCTGTCGCCCACATTCAGAAGCCCTGCCTGCAGCACGCCGAGTGACGGCACGTCAGCACTGAGGTCAAACCCCAGGACCTTTCCAAAGCAGCGCAGGAACTGCATGACCATAAGACAGTCTGAGAAACATCCTCCCGGCAACAGCAGACCCGCTATACGTGACAGCGCTGGCAGAGGCTGCACATGGAGAGAAACACACTTACACACTGAATTCATTCAAGAACAGCAAATTACTATTGAATGGTTATGTGACTATTATATGTCTGTGGTTGCAATGGTGTTCTGGATGGTTGCTACTAAGTCTTTGTGGTTCTTATGTTGCTAGGCGGGTGATTTTTGGGATATTTGATTGTCATATACACTGCCGGTCAAAAGTTTGGGATAATTAAGATTTTTAAAATGTTTTTAAAAGAAGTCTCTACTGCTCACCAAGGCAGCATTTATTTGATTAAAATTGCAGTAAAAATTTTAAATATCATTACAATTTAAAATAACTGTTTGTTATGTGAATATATGTTAAAATGTAATTTCTGTGATCAAAGCTGAATTTTCAGCATCATTACTCCAGTCTTCAGTGTCACATGATCCTTCAGAAATCATTCTATAATGCTGATTGAATTTCATCTGATTAGAATTGATTAATTATTATTGGTGCTAAATTACTGATAATGGTTCTTATTATTACCAATGTTGAAAACTTTTTTGCTGCTTACAACAGAAATCTTTTGTAACATTATAAATGTCTTTACTGTCACTTTTGATTAATTTAATACATCCTTGATGAACAAAAGTACTAATGTCTGTTGAAATAAAAAGGTATCATGATTTCCACAAAAATATGAAGCAGCACAACTGTTTTCAGCATTGATAATAATCAGAAATGTTTCTTGAGCAGCAAATCAAAATATTAGAATGATTTCTGAAGGATCATGTGACACTGAAGACTGGAGTAATGATGCTGAAAATTCAGCTTTGATCATACGAGTAAATTAGATTTTAACATACATTCACATAGAAAACAGTTATTTTAAAATGTAATATTTCACAATTTTACAGTTTTTACTGAATTTTTGAGCAAATAAATGCAGCAAATTAAAAAAAATAAAAATAAGACATGTAATTATTCAAAACATTTGGTTGGTAGTATACAGGAAAACCAAAATTCAAAATTTTGCAATTTCATTTGGTGCCACTAATTGCGCAGAAATGATGCACTTATTTGGTTCTGTGTAAGAAGGATTCAGTGGCTGCTGTGACTCACTGTGTGGTCTGACAGACACATGTCTTCATTGGGTTTGTTCAGCTCTTTGGCCATCTCCAGCTCCAGCCGTCTGAGCTCCAGTTTGCGCTCCTTGTTCAGTCGTTTCTCATCTCGTTTCTCCTGTTTCAGTCGCTCTTTCTCCTGCGGAAACATTTAAGAAGATTTGACAAACCTTGTGTGCCAAAAGACTGATCTATTCATTCATAGTCTATATGATTGAATGGATGAAGGATCTGAGGAGGACAGAGAGATGAGGAGACGGAGAATAAGAGGAGATGAAAGGAGGAAAAGAGAATTATGAAATGATAAAAGGAGCTGTATAACATACCTCAGCTTTCTTCCTGGCCTCTATCGCCTTCATCAACATCACATGCTGCCGACGTCTCTCCCGCTCCTACAACAAACATCAGACATCAGAGAAAGAATGAAACAAAACTACACAGGAGAGAACGAAAGAACACACAAAAGGAGAGAACAAATGAGCAAAGTAACAAACATAATGAATTACAGAAATAAATAAAAACATCAAAATAAAACCGTATGAAAGCAAGAAGAAATGAAATAATGAAAAAAAGTAAACAAACAAAGGATGAAAAAAGAAAAACAAAAGAATTAAAATTTAACAATGTCACGAGAACACAAAAATAAAACAGAAAAGAGAAAGCAAATACAAGAAAGAAAGAAAGAAAGAATTCAATTTATGAAAGAAAAATGAAAACAAAAGACAGAAAAAATAGGAAAAACAAATAAAAAAACCATAAAAAAATAAAACAAACAAAAATAAAATAAAAGACAGAATGAATACAAAAAAGAAAAAACACTTAAGAAAAACAAATGAAAGAATAAACTAAATAAGCAACAATTAGCAAAACAAAAAAAGAAGAGAAACAAAATGATGAAACAGAACCAAGAATGAAATAAAGCAAATGAGAAACAAAAAAATTTAGACAGAATAAAAGAAAGAACAAAAACAAAATCACAACACATGCATTGTATACTGCAAAATGACAAAATTGCAGAAGCATGAAGATTTAGTGAAGCTTCAGCAGGTTAAGAGCTGAGAGTCTGCAGAACTAAAACAGATCTGTTAACCAGCGCGGCTCAGTCCTCCACTTCCTAAACATCTTGATGAAGCGTGAGTTATTCCAGGTGTTACATATTAACCATCAGGTTTCTACAGGTCTTTAGTGAGGACAGACAGGAGACGACGAGGAGGACATGAACGAGTCCACAGAAATCTCTGAACTCCGTCAGTATAACAATATTTAAACACGATGCAAGAAACAACAGACTTTAAAACATAAACAATGATCCAATCGGAAAACTGTTTCAGCTGCTGAGAGACACTTTAAAGCTTTGTAGGAAATTATTTTATTGCCTGTTTTAAATCAAAAACAACATGTACACTTCAGGGGCTGGATGTTCTCAAAGTTCACAAACACTAGCCGCCACGCAAATGAAAAACAAGCAAGAATCAGAATGAATGTTTATGATATTGCGTTGAAGGCTTGATGATATGAAGCTGCGTGGACAATCAAGTTTCCACCGACACAGATGGAAATATTGTGACTGATATCTGTTAACAGATTCCAGCTCTGTTCCAAAACAGTGAGCTGCCTTTTAAGGGAGATATACATACACACAGAAAAAACTGAAATGAAAATTAGAAGTTGGAGTACTAAAAATTTCGAAAACTAAAATATTAAAACAAAAACAATAAATGAATAATATTTTTTAAATAATATAAAATAACAAAAATAATAAAAATGACAAATTCACATAAAATTACTAAAAATAAAATTAAAACGGGAAATATAAAAATAAAAGCCAATTCAAAATATCAATAAATACTAAAATAGCATATAAATAATACTAAAACAACACTGCTGTATGAATTGTATTCACTTAGAATTTACTTAGTTTACTATAATTTCTCTAATTTTGTCTGCCATCTTTGATGGATTTTTCAATGCATTATGGGACTGCTTTCTCTATAAACAAGGACTGTCTCCTATGATGCCTAAAAATGCTTCCCCCACATAGGCAGCTCACTAAGTTTCAGAAAAGAGCCCATTTCTGTCTCCTTCAGCAGGGTGTCATGCAGGAGAAATGCAAGCGCAGTCAAAGCAGTCAGTTGCACATGCAACACGGAGCAAAACACCCGAATCACAAGCATTTCACAATGTGTTAGATGTAGAAAAGTAAACATACCCATACCATATCTAGTCTATGTCTCTCCAACTCCTGCCAGTGAGAGTTGGCAAAGGCAAGAACAAAAATGAGTAAATAAATCAATGCATACAACCTTATTGAGCAACTCCCCAGTAGACCGATTACCCACAATACATTTAGAGCAATAGCTGAGCCAAAAAAAGATCATTCTTACAACAATAATGACAGAATTCAACTATTTCTTTAAAGTAATCACATAAAAGAATAAAAGCAGCAGAGACCCGAGGCATTATTCAGTGAAATACTGTTTTTTGAAAACGTCTGCTCATACCTGGTGCTTCAGGATGATGGCCTGCTGTCTGCGCAGTTCCTTCTCCTTCAGACAGAGATAAAATAAATTAAAACCCGCAAATATTTCCTTCTTTCCATTACTGAGATGGGAGAGAGAAAGAGATGCAGATGGAGGGATGTCATAAACAGATAGGATTTTCTCCATTTATTTCCGTGGTATATTGAAATGCCTGGGTTTTGACTGACAGGCGTATAGTCGAGGGGCACATGAGTGTTAATGTAAAATGAGAAATGGAGTACCGCTGCTGTCTCAGGTCTCACTCAATCTCTCACAGAAACACACCCAAATGGTTATAAAAATGTGCACTAGTCCAGTTTCTGATTTTTTTTATTAGGGCATATTTTTTGCATCATATAATGTTTCTAACCATATAAAACACACAATGTGTCATCAAATATTTCACCTGAATCATTTAACCTGAATAATAGCTCAATTGTAACAATTATTGCTGTTATCTGTCAAATCAATTAGTTTCATTGTATTTTAGTAAACATATGTAATAATATAGCAAGGAGAGACGGTGAATCAGAAATTGAGATAAACTGCTCATAGTAAATAATTCAGTAAATCAAACGCTACAAAAAAGACAACAAACAACAAACCTTTATTCGTTTTTCAGCTTCTAGTATTTTGGCATTTTCAGCCTCTTCTTTCTTTTTTCTTTTAGCCTGTTGGCATAAACATATTTGACAGATAAATTAATACATTATTATAACATAACAAAATATTTGACGTAAGCTATTCAACTTGGCCAGTAAATATTTGAATGCTTAGTACAGTATGAATTAAAGATGTGATAAACTTATATCTCAATACTTTTCAGACTTCTAATAATATTTGATGGACGTTCCATATTTATTTTTTTATTAAAAGGGTGATCCCCCCGCCCCCCAAGTAGAGGAAACATCATTCAAAACAAACAGATATGGTAAAGTGTTTAATATAAGATGTAATATACATTTTTTTTTTAAAAAGCAGTTAGGGTTGATAACTAACACGGTAACTAAGAGTGTCAATTTGAGATATGGTCATAATGCTAACTGTTTGTCCTTACATGTTAAAGATTAATATGGACACTTAAAGAGGAATATTTGCTCAATTTCAGTGTGACTGTCTGTGACTGAAGACAAAACTGTGTCGTTCCAGGAGTGGCATGGGTGCCTTTAGAGTCAGACATGCTTCTTTTTTAATTACTGCTATTTCCCACACTTTAAAATAATAGTAAAGTCATCAAAACTAACGTGTACTATTTTCAAACTGATTTATACAAAACATTTCCCACACTTCAAAAAAATAGTAAGGTAAATTGGCAGCTTTTCCACCACTTTCCGCTACGTTTCAAATATTTTTTTTAATTAAACTTAGTTTTGCATGTAGATAATTTATCATTTATTGTTGTACTATTTTCAAGTATTTAATTGTACTGTATTTAAGGCTTAAATAAAATATACAAAATATATAAAAAGTTTGATGTATTTATTCATTCATTCATTTATAAGTAACTCCAAAACTTCCCACACTTCAAAATAACAGTACAGTCATCAAAGCTGATGACAAAGCTTGTAGAATTTCCATTAAACTTTAATTAAACTATAGATGCATGTAGAACATTTTACATTTGTATTATATTTATATGTGACTCTGGAGCACAAAACCAGTCTTAAGTCGCTTGGATATATTTGTAGCAATAGCCAAAAATACATTGTATGGGTCAAAATGATCGATTTTTCTTTTATGCCAAAAATCATTAGGATATTAATAAAAGATCATGTTCCATGAAGTTATTTTGTAAATTTCCTACCGTAAATATATAAAACTTAATTTTTTATTAGTAATATGCATTGCTAAGGACTTCATTTGGACAAATTTAAAGGTGATTTTCTCAATATTTAGATTTTTTTGCACCCTCAGATTCCAGATATTCAAATAGTTGTATCTCCATACATGTACAAACCATACATTAATGGAAAGCTTATTTATTCAGTTTTCAGATGAAGTATAAATCTCAATTTTGAAAAATTGACACTTAAGACTGGTTTTGTGGTCCAGGGTCACATATTATTTTCATTGTACAGTGTATAAGCTTTGAAATTTGACATACAAGTACCTCCAAAATCTGCCGAGCACGGAGTTCCTTCTCCAAACGGACCTGCTGGATTCTCTTGAACTTCTCCTGTGAAAGAAAGCAGGAATGAGAAAGAATGAGCTGTGGTCTGGGTTTTCACTGATGAAACGTGAAGCAACAAGCATCTTATGCAAAAACCCATAAAGGTAAAGGCTGATCTGAAGTGTCAAAAGCAGCAATGCATGCACAAACACAAACTACAGGTCAGCAGGAGACGTCATGAGAAAACATGGACATTTCTGACCTGCTGCTTCAGAATCTTCATTTGTTCCTTGTGTTTCCGCCGCTCTTCAGCCGCCATGATTGCTGAAAGTTCATAGGAAATGGTGAGCGGGTTTAGCAAGTGTATTAGAAATCAAAAGCAAAATGAAACTCCAGCTCACCTTGCCGTCTCCTGGCCTCTTTAGCCGCTCGTGCCAGCACCTGCTTCTCCAGCTTACGCATCAGCTTCATCTGAGCTGCCTGCCGCGCCATTTCTGACAGACACACGAGAGCTTTAGAGCTCATTTAATGTACAGCAAGTCCAATTACTGACAGAGTTTCTGCAAGTTTTATGAAGATAAATTTAAGACCTTTTTAAAACAGATTAAAGAAAATTTTGGGAACAAATAGAAGTTCCACAAAGCCGTTTGCACCACGCTCTTCTGTCACTTGATCTTTTGTTTTGGTGCGTCAACCGATTAAATGACTTAGTATATGAAAAAAAAAGTTTTTTCCTATTGGTGATAAATGTATGATAAAATGTAAAAAGGAGAGGTTTTTGTGAGTGCGGATCATGGTTTCATATACTAAGGAACAAATAGAAGGCAATATTGACAATACATCAATATGTTCTCTAAATGAAAATGTCTGAGGAGAAAACAATGAGAAATTTTGGGAACAAATAGAAGTTCCACAAAGCCGTTTGCACCACGTTCTTCTGTCACTTGATCTTTTGTTTTGGTGCGTCAACCGATTAAATGACTTAGTATATGAAAAAAAACTTTTTTTCCTATTGGTGATAAATGTATGATAAAATGTAAAAAGGAGAGGTTTTTGTGAGTGCGGATCATGGTCTCATATACTAAGGAACAAATAGAAGGCAATATTGACAATACATCAATATGTTCTCTAAATGAAAATGTCTGAGGAGAAAACAATGAGTTGCATTAGCAGCACTTCAAAGTTTGAAAATACACCTACTTTTTTTACCAACAAATAGCTTAACGAGAAAATGGAAATAACTTTTACTGTAGCTTCTAAACATACTGCTCAAAATGGCTGTTCTTCCGCAGTATTTTTGTCGTGTTTTGCAGTGCAAATGTCGAAATTCTTAAATCAAGATAAATGCAAGAGAAAGTTATCAAAAAGAAGTGAATTTATGATAAAAACGGACAAATATCTGCCAATGGGCTTAGGTTAATTCAAAGGGAAAACAAGTTAATTCCCCATTGACAGATATTTACTCTCGGTTTAAGCATAAACTTAAACTTAATTTTGTTCAGAATTTGTAATTTTGGGTGAACTAAATCTTTTAAAACACTCTACAATCTTCATTCCAATGTGTAATGGTTTAGTTTCACATCTTTGCTAAAACAGATAAGATAGCGTGTGCATTTGTGTCTTGTTTTGGTACCCTGGGCCTCCCGTCTGCGCAGTAGTTTGGCCTCAGTGCTGCTGACAGCATCAGCTTCACTCTCGTCAGGTGCTCTGCTTTTCCTGCGAGAGCGAGCGGGGTCAAGATTCTTGAGACGACCCCGACGACCTTCCATCACTAAGATACGAGGAACCACTTCCTCTTCCTTCAGTAAGCACCACTGTAACCCCTGAAGAAGACAACAACAGTGTTTAGAGAATAAATTATTATTTTTCACAAAAAGTAAAATAATAATAAAATAATAATAATAATTATTATTAACTATTAGTAGTAGTAGTAGTAGTAGTAGTACTACTAGAAGTAGTAATATTAATAATAGTTTATAATAATAATAATATAAAAAATATTAGTTATTATTGTAGTTGCTTAAATGGGTTTTTATTAGATAATTTAATATTTAAACAAAACACACTAACATTGTTAGTGTGTTTTAGTGAACATTGTTTAGTAAATAAATACAAATTTTAGTAAAAACAATTCTTCTTCTTATTATTATTATTATCATTAGTAGTAGTACGAGTAGTAGTAACAGCATAATAATAATAACATCTAAAATTATTTGTTGTTGTTGTGGCTTCAATGGGTTATTTTATTAAATAATTTAATATTTAATTTTATCAAAACACACCAACACTGCACAACAACATTTTTAGTAAATAAATAATATGAATTTTAGTAAAACAAAATCATATTTTTAAATGATTTTTTATATTATTATGATCTTTTTATTATTATATTATCATTAGTAGTAGTAGTATTAGTAACAACAACAACAACATAATAATAATAATAATATCTAAAATTATCATCATTATAATTAAATAATCATTTAATATTTATATAATATTTAATATTTTAAATTATTAAATATTAAATCATATTAATAACATTAATAATTAATATTAATAAATATTAATAATACATATTGTAACATTTAATATTTTAAAACAAAAATCACAATACACTTTAACACCACAGATATACACTACAATGTTACTACAATGTTACTTCCCCCACAGCAAATTAAATCACATTTGTTCAGCCTACACAGTGCCTGTTTGACTTGACAGACATGAATAAGAGACCAGTACAACTGAAGAAATTACCTGCGGTCCATCTCTGGCTTCATAGAAGTCACCAACCTTTATTTTAGCACTGAAGCTAAAATTATCACGTGTAACGTCGCTGATCCCGTTTCTGGTCAAATACTGTGAGGAGTGAGAGCGTAAGATCAACAGAACAGCAGCAGCATCAGTCATTAAACAGCAACACAAGTTTTAAAGTGATCATCTCTTGCCTTGATGACATCAGGATACTGTCTGAGCTTTCTGCCGCATGGAGCGTAATACGCTACCTCTCCACGCAAACGCCCAGACATGTTCCTGATGCGCGTCTCCCTCTGCCATCTGAGAACAGAGAGAGTTTTCATTTCATTTCATGCTCAAGACTCAAAGTGAATTCATGTATAAATGAGACAACTGTAAGTAAGCCATTTGTAGGCTGATTTCCACTAAAACTGGCCAAGTTTGTCCAACTATTCTTTAGTTTTTCTATTCCAAAGACATTTAGCTTTAAATGCTGCTGACCATCACTGTTTTCAACACAGTTAAACAAATTAGGGGGTTTTATTAGTTGCATTTAGTCAAATCAAGTCACATTCAGTTCAGTGTTTATTCAGTTTAGATAAATAATAGTGCAAAGTTCATCAAATTATGAAACTTAATTTAACTAAAAAAAACAGCTCTACAGAAAACAAGAGTGTTATTATTCAGCTCAAGACAGTTCAGCGTTGATTCAATTCAGCTCAATTCAGTTTAAGTTTGTTCTCATGAATATACTGCTGAATATTAAGTGTATTTTAATATCTTTTAGGAGAAATTTAGCAATTTAAATATAAAATTTAATGTTTAATATTTAAATATCATATAATGATAATAATAATAATAATAATAATAATAATATGTCAAATTAAAAGAAAATAACTATTTAAAAGCATTTTTTAAATATTATTAATAATATTCTAATATTTATATTATTGTATGTTTTATACTACCTTCTGTTGTTTTTAAATGTGCTTTGTAACTAAACTAAACTAAACTAAACTAAACTAAAGTTGTCAATCCATTTCAGAATCTCATTGTTTTTTATGCCGGATAAATACTGATATGCTAAAAGAAATTTAAAAATAAATCCAAATAAATCTGATTATATATATATATATAAATATATTGCTCCCTCAGATGGCTGCTTTGTGTTTTTTATTAGTAACTTTACGTTAGTTAACTTTTTTTTTCTTGTTGCCAGGTATACTAAAGTTAAAATAGCACTACTCACTACTTCACCTTTATTCAGTCCTGTTGTATGCACTTCATATGTATTCTTGCATTACTGATGCAATAACAAACCTCTGTACTTAAGGGGGCGATAGAGTGTCCTTCAAATGTCTGTGTCATTAAACCAGATGCATTTTTGTTAATGGAAGCCAATAGCTGTGTCCCAAATGACGCACTATACACTATGCACTCATACACTGTGTACTTATGCACTATGTACTCAACCATGTATAGTATGAATTATATAAGGTTATTTTGTCATTCATAATCGGAGTCTCATAGCCCCTCCCCCTTCGGTACGTAATTAAAGCTGCGACAATTGAGTGCATGAAGTGTCCAACATTCCACACTTCATTTTTTCGGTTATTTAAGTGCATCATCCGGGTATTTAAAGTGCACTTTTTCTTTTTGGAATTTTCAGTGTGAACGCACTACTCGCACCATTTATACTACTAAACGTCATAGAATAGTGCATAAGTACGCGATTTGAGACGCACCTAATAACATTCTGACTATCACTAACTTTCTCAAAGATTCTCTTCAAACTGTAGAAGACTGTATAGTGCATTGCTCTGACACACAGTTGCATAATTAGAAGAAAACGTGTATGTTCTGGGCCTAAAAGGATATTAATATGCATGCAAATGTTTGATAACACAAAAAAAGGCAATAAGGGTAACATGAAATGGCTGGAAAGTCAAGACTCACCCATCTTCTAGAGGTTTCCGCAGTGCACATTCATCTGCTACTCTTCTCCTTTTCCCTAGAAACATAGCAGATACGCAAATATATAAACACAAGAAACATACACTTGCTGTTTTAGTAGAAATGTAGTGGTCGACTGATAATGATGTTGTATGGCCAATATTAAGCCGATATACTGTATATATGATACCATATTATTTAATTTAAATATAGTAAAAAACATATGCATAACAACTGCTGAAATACCTGGGGGTGTGACCACACTGTAAGATGACAAAGCTGGGCTGTGATTGGCTGAATTCCCAGAGCCGGTCACAATGGCTGGTGTGGTTGTGGCAGGTGTTTTATGAACCTGTAGATTGAGAGGGGCGGGGCTAGTGCTGTGGGAGGAGTCAAGTATAGACACTGAGGATTTGGTGAGTTTGAGTGGCGTTCTGTCCATTTCTGAATCTGTGTCCATCTCTTCATCTTTACCATCATCATCATCATCATCATCATCATCATCAGAATCAGTGTCTAAATTGCTGTCAGAGTCTGCAGAAGAGAAAACAATATGAGAGAGTGTTTGCTCATGTATGAATGTGAAAAATACACTTATATTATTATGTTGCACATGACTTTTTACTCATTTAGGATCATAAACATGCATGCAAAGTTTTGGCACTCTGATGTGCTGCAAAATGCACGAACATATACAGTATATATGTTTGTGTCAACCTGCAAAGTTCAGGATTAACGGCAACTGCACAAAACCAAAAATAAATAAATAGAGACATAAATAGTTATGTCTACTTTACATAGACATTTATGCACTGGAAAGGTGCTTTTATTTGAAGACATTTTCACTGCGTTGATGGCATACATTTGTGGCATACAATTTCATTGGGAATCAAACTGATGATCCAGGGTTATTGTAGTTAACTGAAACTAAAAACAACAACAACTAAAAAATGTGTTAGCTGAAATAAACATCAGCTGAATTAAAAATATAAAATTACATGCTTTTTAAAAAGTTAACTTAATTTGAGCTAGTTCCCAAGGCAACATTTCAAATTTTTTGTTTAGTTTAATTTGTAGTCAAATAACTAAAACTAAATAAACTAAAACTAATTAATAATTGAATTAATAAAAACTATGTAGAAATGTTTAAAATAATAATAATAATAATAATAATAATGTCAAAATTAAAACAAAATTACAAAAACTTTAACTAAAATTAAAGTGAAAACAGAAAATATAAAATTCAAAACATTACAAAACACAATTAAAACTATATGTATAACAGTGTATCAATGACACTAAAATAAAAATGCTTTTCCACACTTCTATGTTTACAGTTTGTGAAAAATGTTGTGGAAAAAAAATTGTTGTTAAATAGTTTTAAAATCATATGTTCTCATGTTTTTTTGTGTAATGTAACTTAATTTTAATTTTAATAATGGATTAGCAAATATTAACATTAACTAGATTTAATAAATGCTAGTATATTTCATCGTTAATTGATTGTAATTAACTAATGTTAAACAATAATATTGATCTGAATGATTACATCATGCTGACCTGAGAGACTGTCATTTGAAGCATCATTTTCATCCTCGTCCTCCATTAACGAATCATCAGAGTCTTTACTGTAAGGGAGTTCAGACTCCGCCCCCCTGAAGTGCTCCACCAATGATGGTCTCTCTCTCTTCAGAGCGGGCGAGGTAGAGGTGCGTCCCGTGGTGGTGAGGTTAATGGGAGTGTTGAACGCGGGGCTGGTGGCAGCCAGCAGTGGTTTATCAGGGGGGTGTGTGCTCTGGGAGCGAGGTTTGGTGATGAGGGCCAGAGGAGCGTCCTGCACCGCGCCGTGATGGTGGTTCTCCGTAGGAAGTGAGGGGAGAAACGGACTGTTGAACGGAAGTTTCTGGCTGCTCTGTGATTTCTGTGCACCTCTCAATGGTGGAGGAAAGGCCTGAGGTAGAGATGACTGACGGGACAGAGATATTGCTATTACTTCATCTGTCATTCATTGTGATTCACTGACTCATTGAAATGAATGCTGCCTCTTCATATGCACAAATATTGAAACAAATATGCAACTAATATATTCAAAACTGAATTTAGAATTTATTGTTTTTATTAGGGATGTAACGATTAACCGCGAGCCGGTTGAAAATCGATTCAAATATGTGACGATTCAAATCGGTTGAGATGCTAAACAAATCGCGATTCATTTAGGTGTAGGAGTTTATATGAATGCATGTCTAAAAGGACACATTTAATTTATAATTTGTCTTAAATCTCATTTTGTAAAAAATAAAAAAAAATCGTGACTCGAATCGTGAAATCAAAACCGTGAATCGAATCGAATCGTGAGTTGAGTGAATCGTTACATCCCTAGTTTTTATTATAATGCAGAAGATTGTTTATTATGAAAACAGTCAATTTAAAATGCACAATATACACTACTGATCAAATGTGGCGTTGGTAAGATTTTTTTGTTTTTGAAAGAAGTGCACTCCAAAGATGCATTTATCTGATTAAAAAAATACAGCAAAACAATAATAATGTGAAATAATATTACAATTCAAAATAAGTGTTCTCTATTTCAATATATTTTAAAATGCAATTTCTTTCTCTGATGCAAAGCTGAATTGTCAGCATCATTACTGCTGTCTTCAGTGTCACATGATCCTTCAGAAATCATTCTAATATGCTGATTTGCTGCTTAATTATTATTATTATCAGTGCTCAATTATTAATTATGGTCCTTATTAGTATCTATATTGAAAAAAGATTTTTCTGCTTAATATTTTTGTGGAAACAGTGATGCATTTTTTCATGAATGTTTGAATCCAAAAGAACAGCATTTGAAATATTACAAATGTCTTTACTGTGCCTTTTAATCAATTTAATGTGTCCTTGCAGAATAAAAGTTATAATTTCTTTCAATAATATGATATGATAAATGATAAGATTTATTGGTAACACTTTGCAATAAGGGTACATCAGCAGCAAATCAGCATATTAGAATGATTTCTGAAGGATCATGTGACACTGAAGAGTGGAGTAATGATGCTGAAAATTCAGATTCGATCACAGCAATAAATTACATTTTACAACATATTCACATAAAAAAAAACCTGTTATTTTAAATTGTAACAATATTTCACAATTTGTAATGTTTTTACTTTTTTAATTTTTGGGTCAAATAAATTCTGCCTTGGTGAACAGAAGATACTTCTTTCAAAAACATTAAAAAAAAAAAGTTTGAACTGTAGTTTAGTTTCAGAAACGAGGTTCTTCCTCAACACTGATCAGCAAATATCATGTGCGCATGCATGCATGCTTTTTATCTGGTTGTGTTTCAGAGAAAGTCACCTGTTTGAGTTTGCTGAAGTTGTTAATGGTGAGCAGGGTCTGGTCGAGGTAATTCTTGCACGTCTTCAGACGGGTGGATTTGGAGGAGGGCGGTGTGGGAGAGGAAGTCAGAGACAGAGGCTTGGGTGACGGGGTGAGGGAAGGTGGTTTTGGAGAGGATGAGTGGGAGAAGGGCAGGTCTGTAGGGGACGGTGCGTCTCTGTCCCTGCGTCGCTGCATGACTAGTGCAAGCGGTTTTGCGCTGGATGCTAGACCTGTGGCCTGGATGACACTGGCCTGTTTGCTGGGCTCCTCTGTCGGCCTGAAGGACTGGATGTGAAAAGGCAGCTGGGACAAAAGCAAACCCTGGACGTCCAGCTTATCCTGTCCTACAGTGTGACGGCTCTTCTTCCTGTCTGTGTGCATTTCCTCCTGGGTAAGCAGAATTACAAATTATACTAACATAAAATAATGTAACAGCTTTGTTCAACATAGTTTTTTAAATATTGCATTACTTTTAATGTGGATTATTTAATACTATTAATATTTGTAATCTTTTCATTATTATTATTATTATTATTATTATTATTGTTTGTTTGTTTTTATATTTTAGTAGTATTAGTAGTAGTAATAATAATAATAATAATAATACATTTCACAATAACATTAAAAAAAATTATATTCACCCAATCAAAGGCTATATTTAGAATAGCATACTACCATATTTTCTATGATATAAAAGGTTAAAATGGTATAAACATTAAATAAGTTGTTTAAAAAAAAAAAAACTAAATACAGAGATTACATTTTTAATCTTTTGTTAACTTAGATTTTAAAAAGATTTAAAAATTTTCATCTGTGTTCATACTATTATAATATTTACAATGTGTGTGTGTGTGTGTGTGTGTGTGTAAGTGCTCAATGGTGATCTAACTATTTCCCCCTCATTCGTTACTTGACTATATCATGCTATAAATAAACTAAACATTTAGAATTTTTACCTCAGTATGTTTGTTCTGTGAGTTTCTTTGTGTGTGCCGTACGCTCATTTGATTTGATTTCTCCATGAAAGTCTCTCACAGAGACAGGCAGCACGAGCCTCAACAGCACAAGGGGAGTACTCTTGATGGACACTCACTGGGTCCGTTAGACTGGAGACATTTTTGTGGTAATGTGACATTTTAAGACTTTTTAAGGACCCGCGGCCACCCTGCTTAAGACTGGTTTTGTGCTCCAGGGTCACATATAGGTAACACTTTATTTTAAGGTGTCCTTGTTACACGTTACATGTACTTACTATTATAATAACAATAAATTATGGATAAGTACATGTAAGTAACCCTGCGTCAAACCCTAACCATAAAGCACATGTAGTTAATTAATATAACTCAGTTCTTAAATGTATAATTACACCGTAACAAGGACACCTTGAAATAAAGTGTAACCTGATTTGTTTATTAATTAGTTTTCTGGCAGTATTCTAAAAATTACAGTCCAACAGAATGTGTATAATAATATAATTCAAATTCAAAATGTTCAATTATAATTTAAATTATAAATATTAGATTATTAAATAATTATAAATATTATATACACATGACATTACATACATATAAAAATATAACATTTTAAATAAATTATATTATATTTATTATATGAATGAATAAATGCATAATTCTATTTATATGTATATAAAAATTATACTTGTACAATAAACATTTTTGTTTTTTTAATTTAAATCAAGATACACAACAAACTACCATGATGTATGAATATTTCAAAATTTAAATGTTATTTTAATGTCACTTTATTGTAATGCAAATTATTATTTTTTATTTATTTAGCATTATGATAAGAATTTGGGGGTAAAATGTGCTTAATGTTCAGGAAATATAATGCAGAAAATGATCTCAAAACATTTTCTTGCAATTCTTCACCATTTCAAGCAATTTTGGTGTTAAATATTACACAGACATATTTCTGACAGGTTTCATAAGATTTAAACAACACTGTAAATCTGTTGTATGGCCTGTACCTGTGAAAACACACCTGAAGCTAATGACTTCTTCTGCTAAACATACCTGGTAAAGCTCCGATCTGAGAGTGGGCTGCCAGAGCGGCCGACAATCCCAGAGTTCCCAGACCTCCGAATTCAGAGCAGACAGGAGAAGAGGAGTGCAGACTGAAGACTGGGTGACTGATCATGGGAAAGGCACCGGAAACTGAAGAAATTCCCAAACCCTGATTGCCAAACATTTGGAACAAATGACCTGAGAGAGAAATCATAAGATATCACTCATGCATGTGTAACATTCTGATACATAAAGCCTGTCAGAGAAATCAGACCATTTGCAGTAATTAGAAAAGAATATGTGTGAATTTACATTATTACAATGAATTTAAGAAGAAGTTGTTCACAGATACAGCAAAGAGAAAGTAAATTGTAATTGTGATTTTTTTCCTGATAAAATGCTATTTAAAATGCAATTAAAACATTATAGATTTGCCGTGATGGCTTGTTGGCCTGCATAATTTGGCCAAAATTGTGTGATTATTAATTAATATGGCTATATAATAATAATTATTATTGTTATTGTTATTATTATTATTAATGTTTTATTATGATTTATTATTAGTTTGTATTATGTTTGTATAATAATAATAATAATAATAAAACCCATTATTATAAAACGATACAAATAATCATAATGATTATTACTAATATTAGCCAGGAGCAGATTTGGTAGCGCTGGGGGTGGTGTGCGGGAGTATTAAAATATAGATAATTTAATCATAAAACTACTATTGTTTTGCATTAATAAGTGCAGTTACTAATAATATGACATGTTCATTTCTTGTTTATTTTTCTTTTGTTTATTGTTTATACAGATTTGACAGTAAAGCACTAAGCTTGAGTTAAGATGCATACAAAATTTACTTTCAACAACAGTAATAGGTGCAAAATTTAATTTTTATATAGAAAATGTATATATTCCACTCTTATTAAATCTACCATTATTCTTCTAGTATATGGAACTGACCAACTTCAGTGATTATGTGTGATTTAGTAGCAAATTGAAGAAAAATTAGTTTTTCAAGGCACTTTGTGATTTTTCTACATACACAAAAAAAAAAAAAGTGTAAAATTCGGACAAAATCTGATTTCTGGATGATTTGATATTTTATAAGAGTGATTTTATAACTTCAAAATATAGAGAAAAAGTAGAAATGAATGATTAATAAGCTAATAAGTGCTCCTCTGCTGCCGTCAACTGGTTATAATTGTGATTTGATGCATTTTTTAAACTGGTTTATAACAGAGAATTCTGTGCAGAATTTGAATGATTCTCACTAGATCTCGCAGCACTGTTGCGAAATCAACTTTGGCTTCTGAGTAAAGCTATTCTGAGCCCGGACGAGTTTGTTTGCGTCACGGTCCGAGCTGATAAACGGTCCGCGCTGCGTAGCTGAAACGTAGCGCGGTTTAGTTTCGCTTTCGTTTGCCGTTTGATGTTTCTCAAATGTAACAGAAATGGCAGCATTTATGAGTTGGACAACACGGTGGTCGCGCCAGTGTGACCGCTCACAAAAATGAGTCGCACCGGCAGAAAAAATGGTCGCAAAATGCGACTATTTGGTCGCAGTCTGGAGCCCTGCATATCAGTTTTGGCTTTAATTTCATTCATCGTAAATCCCTACTACATGCATGATTTGTATGAAATGCAAAGTAATGCTGGTTTGAGGGCTTGTTTTTAAGATATAACCCATAACATTGTCAATCAACATCACTGTATTTCACTAAAATAGTTTCTATAAACTACATGCATAAATTAAAAGCCATATAAACGTTTACTAAACCAATGAATTTCCCTTTTTCTTGGCTGCTCAGGTGGGCTGAAGGCTTTTCTTTTTCCTGAAGTCATTTACTGCTAAAACTCCTGAGGGATTCGCAAAGAATAGAGTAAGAGCACAAAAGCTGGACACAGGAAAAATCCCCTTCAAGAGAGACAAAAAACCCCTCGTTCCCCGAGCTGCTGTGATGGCCGTTTACAGGCAAAAAAAGACATCTTTCACATCTTTGAATCTCATTCTAATGAGCTGCATATTTAGCGTCAGCTCCTTTGAGGCCCGGCCCGTCGATACAGGACGAGACGGCGAAAATAAATGGCTGGAAGAAACATCCAAAAGCCCGGCCTCCATCCCCTCCCGCTGTCCCCCTCATCTGCACTGCAAGAGGCAATGACATCTGCAAACAGCCTTTAAATATTAATACACTCCAAGCGGCGGAATAATCAAAACCGCTGGCCAGCCGGCCAAGAGGAAAGAAGTAAAAAAGAAAGAAAAAAAAAAAGTATGTGAAATGTATTTGCTTTATCACTCACTAATTTGCTCTTTCAATAATTCAGCCAGAAATTAACATTTTGCCATAATTTATTTCACCAAATGTCATTCAAACCCTGTATTATTTTCTTGTTAAACAGAAATGTTGACGTTTATAAATATGACCTGCACAAGTGCAACTTTTACTATTTTGTCAGGCCCATGAGATTTGCCTCAGTCGATTTATAAATTATCTAAAGGGATGATTTTACCCATCGGGTAAAAAAAAAAAAAAAAAACACCAAAAATGAGGTGGGCTGTTTTGTAATAACCTTTTTTGTATACCACTATAAAGCACATTAAATGTGACCATTAGAAAATAAATACTATGTTGCAAATATAAATATAAATAAAATATATATATATATATATAAGAACATGCATATATATAAGAACATGCAAGAAAAAATGCAAAAAATAAAAATCTTGAAATGTTTTCTTGCAATTTTCATATTAAATATGAACTGAGAAAAATATACACTTTAACAATATAAACAATTTTATAAAAAAATCTGTAATATGAGTGAAATTTACCACCGTAAACATAATAATGACACACACACCTGACTTTTGCTTTGAATTCATTACTCTGGTCAAAACAGGTTATCCGAGGCAAAATATCTTTGTGTATGATTGTTTTTGTGTGTGTAAAAAGAGCAATTCAAATACATTATTCATCAGTGAGAGAGAAAAGCTCTAGTAATTGCATGGAACAAACCGACGGATATTCTCTTGGCATTTCTTATCATGAGCGAGAACAAAGAGGCGAGGAGACAGGACAAGAAAAAAAAAAAACATGCACAAATCACAATTTATAAATTTGCATATTATTTTGTGGTCAGGCTAATCTGACAGCGTCTACATCAACAGCAGACATTCACCCAGCGGCATAAAATGTGTTTAGAAAAAGGACAAACTGTCTCTGATTGGATCATTTCATACAGACTAAATGAGAGCAAGAGGCCTCATGTTGGTGTTCATTAATAAAGTAGCTCTTCATATGAATCCGTTTCATTTTTTCTTAAATTCTGTTTTTTTTAACCAAATACATTTTTTTCCATTACATTTTTTAAAATTTGGTTTTAATGGTTAAACTAAATGTTGTTAATGAAAAAGCATGTCTAAATAACAGAAATCATGAAATGTACACAATTTAACAATTTATTAAAAGTTTAACCAAAATAACATTCTATGGCCCTATGAATTCGGTTTTATTTTTTGCCCAATTATTTTAATTTTAATTTTTTTCATTTTTCTGGACTCCATTTTAATAGTTAAATTAAATTTTGGTAATCAAAAAGCATGTTTAATTAAAAGTTGTTCAAAAATTCCATGTTTGCTGTTTAAAATTTTAATTGATTCCATTTTTTAAATGGTTTAATTACATTTTAATAATCAAAAAGTATGTATATCAATTGAATTCAATAAAACTTCAAAATAAAAAAAATATAGATATATTCATTTTTTCTGTTTCGTTTTTTTCTGGATTTATGATTTAATACAAATTTATTAGTGGTGATAATCAAATGAAGGCGTAAAACTAACACTTGATTATTTTAAAATGTAATCAAGTGAATATTTAACTTTTTTTTAGCAAACAAAGTGCTGCACAACAACACAAAAGAAATTGTGTTACATTTCTTAAAGTTGTACTTTTTTATTATTATAATTAGTATTAGAATTACTATTAATTATTATTATTACTACTACTACTACTACTACTACTACTACTACGAGTACATTTCACTGTAGAACAGCAAAGTATTTCTGTCACAATATATTTCTTCAAGTTAAACGGAACTTTTAGTCTGATGGACTGGATTGTGTGTTTCTTACCGCTCTTGCTGTGTGTTGTTGTTGGTGAGGTTTCTGGGTTTGCTGCAGCTCTTATGGAGGTCTGACTGGAGGTCGGGGAAACCAGCCTCTCCGTTGACTCCATATCTGACAAACAACATGAGCAACAATCAGTACAATCACCAGAATCACACAAACATTATCCGTTCAGCCTAATCGAATCCATCTCTATTCATTCAAATGGCCATCAGTGAGAAAATAAAAGTTCATGCACACTCTAAATAAAGCAATGTGGCAATCATATTTTACTATAAAACTATGTATTTACAAAATAAGAAAACATCTTTTTTTAAAGAAAATCAATCCTTTCCCTCTTTTTGCATTGTGACAATGCCAAAAAACAAAAACAAAGAAATATGATATAAATTTCAAAGTTTATACATCATGATGGTTTTTGATTTACACTTTTAAATTTATTGTTTTTAATTCAATAATACACAATTTATTGCTTCTGAAATTAAAACATGCTTTACTTTCACAAAACAAATATATGACGTAAGTTTTCAAATATTTATACATCATAGTGGTTTTTGTTTAACAATTTAAAATGTATTTTACATATAGGTTATAAGACGCTGTAATGCAAAAAATAAAAAGGATATGATTAAAATGTAAAATAAATAAATAAATAAATGTGTTTAAAATATATACTAGATTTTTCTTTAATGCTATGGCCATAATGTCATTTAACAAAAGCTTCTTCAATATTGAGAACAGGAGAGAAAAAAAGAAAAGCATGAAAACAAACTAGCAGTAAGTGTTTAATTCTTGTAGCAGCGCACAGAGAAGCATCTCCTACAGAATGCAAATGTCAGCATCATTATCGCTTAGAGTGCATCTGCATTAAAGCAAATCACACCGACTGACAAGCAAAATAATGTGAATTTTCACGGACTGCAAAAGAAAAGTGATTACGGGTCTTCTGTGGGTGGCGCTGACACACACAAATAAAAAAAGACTCCATCTAAACGATCTAATGAAATTTGCATGCATATTTAAAACCAATCTTATTTACCATAATGCTTTTTCTTCCTCAGTGAAATCTTAAACATGATTTCCTTTTGAGCCAATTTATATCTCATCCTTTATTCGAAAGAAAACTGAACACAGCAAATAAGAGCAAAAGTTTTGGTCACATTTCACTAAACTAAGATATAAGAAATCATTTTTCAAAAAGTACAAACCGAGATAATGATGTTTCCATTTTTAATCAGCTACTTATTTGGTGTGCATGGGTAAATTAACTTAACTTTTTTTTTTGCATAATTACTCAAAGTTTTTACATGTTATGCATATTATGTCTTTGCAGTCTAATGATTAGATACTAATGTATTAAAAGCAAAAATAAAATGACAAAACATATGCATAAATATGAAAAAAAAAATGTTTTCACATTTCAACAGACTCACATTGCACAGGTAAATTAACTTTTTTTTCATAATTACTCCATTTTTACTTGTCATGCATATTACATCTTTGTATTCTAATGATTAGATGCATTTAAAACAAAAATAAAATGACAAAATATGCATACATTTCTTGAATATATGCAAAAATCAGTATCAGTCATTAAAACGATAACAGTAAATTTCTAGTAATAATAACAACGAGATATTATACTACAAACAAAAAGGTGGCTTCACTGCAAATGAACAACAGAGAGATGTCCTGTTCCTTTAAATTGACGACAGCTTTAATGAGCAGGAACCGCTGAATTAATCTGACATGGAGTGCAGCAGATATTGACACACAGCTGATGAAGCACACGCTGCTAGTGAAGAACAACACATAATAGAGTCAAAGTGATGGACGAGAAAACATCCAGAGCAAATGTGTGGCTTGAGTAACCGGCAGCTGCTTGTGTTTATTGCACGGCTCAAAATGTCACTGATCACTGAAATGCCACTGGATGAACTCACAAAAACATGTCAATATTTCACCCCAAAATCAAAAGAAAGAAAATCTATTTTGTTTAATGTAAATTAAGCCAGTTTTAAGATAACTAAAATTGTTTTGCATTGTGACAGTATGTCCATGACAATTAATTGTAATAAATACATATATTATTGGTGATTCATGTTAGATCTTTAAATACATTTTTTATTTTATTAAATATATTTTTACATGATCTTTTTTTAATTTTATATGAATTTAATATAATTTTTTTATGAAAAATATTTTTATTTTATATATTTCATATTTATAAAAAAAAAACATGTTCGGCATTATCACAAACTCTAGAAACACCCTGAACCTGTAAAGAGACACAACAACAAACGAGTTAAAAGAGGCTTCTCTATTCTCATCACATCTCGCTGCAGGATCAAAGCACAGCTCGGTCGAGGCACACGGACAGATGAGAGGAGACGGAATAAAGAAGAGCAGTGACTCGGATAGCCGAGGTCAGGCCGCGCTCTTTACGCACGCACGTCTCTGACACTTCCTGCTGGCTTTTACATCAAGCCTGAGGAAAACAGGAAGTAAAGAGAGCAAATATCACGCCGTGTTCGAAGAACCAACCCAGCCATAAAGCTAAACCACTACAATTCACAAGAAAGGAGATATCCCACAAAATCATGCTCAAAATCGCAGCCGATTCATTGCCGATTATGAACGTGATTTTGTGTAGCTTGTCAGTGAACTACGGCTCTGTGTAGTAAATGCTGCTCCATCTGAAAGCACGTGCTGGAGATTTACTACTAATCACAGGAGCGGCTTTACTGACGAGATGCGCATGAAAATCACATTAGATTTTTTGCACAGCCCTACTGCAGGGCTTTCATTTATTACTATTATTATTATTTTCTATTAATAAAAGACATTAAAATAAAAACATGATAATGTAAAAGGAATAAGCAATATTTTGTACATAACACAGAAATTGGGGAAAAATTGTCACTTAAAGTGACATTTAGACTTTAAAAAACATGCTTAATTGTCATGGAACTCATTTTCTTCATATTTTCCGTCTGTGAAACATGACCTAGAGATGTTTTCATAAGACTCACCCAGAAAGAGAAAATTGCAGATAACACTTGTGAGACACAATTACTCCAGGGTTATTACAGCTGATTACACAAACGCTTGTTTACAGCCGGCTCAAATCATTCCTGCGGCTGCTTTTCTGCCTCTGGTGACATCACACCATCATATGTGTCTGATAAGCCAATATCAAGATCCAAATTAGGGTCATGAAACACCAGCGCAAACATCCCATTTATTTTTAATCAAAAGCAAGAAAATGGAGGAGAATTCAGCTCAACTCGGCCTCTGCTGAATTCAATGGATGGGAAATTACAACGCGCTGAATATTAGCATGTCTTTTGTGAGATTACAGCCTTTTCCTAAAGATCATTAGAGCAATTAGTCTAAATTACAGGCATTTACGTCAAATTGAGAACTGAAGCCCACGAAAGTCTTAAATAGGCAACTGATCAATGAAGTACAAGGCTGCTTTAACAAGTTTCATTACATTTCTGAATGTGTTTTGAAAACACAGCTGGAAAGAAAGACAAAAGAAAGACAATTTTAGGAAAGTGTTTTTCAGATGTGTGTAATGATGATGTGCATTTAAAAAAAAAAGGGCAAACTACAGTATGGCAAATATTTCAAAAACTAAATTTAAAAAAAAATATTTTTATAACAGAAATAAACTGTCTTCTGTTTTTAAATATTGTTTACTGCAAAATCAGCAGTACTACTAATAAATAGTTGTCAAACGATTAATCGCATCCAAAATAAGCTTTTGCTTACATAATAAATATACACAGTACACATACATATTATGTATATATAAATACACACACAAACAGTATATATTTTGAAAATGTTTACATGTAGTTAAATGTATATATTTATATTATATATAATTATATTTAATATATAAACATAACAGTTTTCTTAAAATGTATACATGCATAAAATAAATATACAGTACACACATATATTTATTATGTATATATAAATACACACACATACAGTATATATTTTGAAAATATTTTACATGTTTATATTCATAATATTTATATTATATATAATTATATTTAATATATAAACATAACAGTTTTCTTAAAATGTATACATGCATAAAATAAATATACAGTACACACATACATATTATGTAAACAAAAACCTTTTATTTTGGATGTGATTAATCGCGATTAATTGTTAGACAACACTAATAAATAAATTTTAACTAATAAAAATATTGTAAATAAAATAAAATATATATAAATAAAAAAGAATAAAAATTCTAATAAATGTTTTACTAGAATTAATTTATAAATAAATATAAAATAAAATATGAAAATAATACAAAATGTGCAATCTTTTTTTTTTTTTTAAAGTAGATGCAACAACAAAGCACGTTCTTTCAGGAACAAGTACAAGGCGGCTGTAACAAGTTTGTGTTTTGATGTGTAATGATGGTGACATTCATTAAAAAAAAAGACAAATGTTGGTAATCTCATCAAGAACAGCCTAATTAGACAAGAGGAGACTGTATGACCATCATGTAAACTGACCGATCACATTTTTTTTGTTTGTTTTTACACTCTGTTCAGCTACCTGAAATAGTTCATATCATAATAATAAACCATTGAAAAACTCATTTCAAGCTATGGTCCATGATTGGAAATGTTTGTCTAACTTTGTTCCTCAATATTGTAAAGATGTGTTTTCCCTCTCTGACAATGTTAACAAAGCAAAGTCTTACGAATGCATCATTTGCATGATTTCAACTTCAATCACAATAGCAAATAGTCAACAGGCGCATTCCATGAAAACAACAAAAAGCGACTTCCTGTGCAGCAGGATGATTTGCATGTAAACAGGTGGAATATAAATGACAGGCAATCACAGACAGGAAAACAGAGAGTTCCAAATGAAACGGAGGAAAGGTGCAGAAGAGCAGAACCACGGCATCTTCACTGCCCATCTCTAATCACATTCAATAATGAATGACAGAGAGAGACATGATTTCACTGTGTGAAAGTAGGGCTGGGCAATAGAGCTAAAAATGTGTATCTTGATTTCCTCCCCAAAAGCTGTCAGTGGGACGATACCTTTTCAAAACGTACACCTTTTTT